AACATCTCTGCCTTACGTGCAACAGATCTGTGGCTTCACAAACTCCACCCCTCTAATCACTGCCCCAAATCTCCAGGAACATCTGAAGCCAGAATTGGCAGTGCAGGAGACTGGGTCAGACTGCTGGAACTACAAGTCTTGCTTGTATTGTGCTAGGGTTGCCTACTCTGAGTTAGGAAATTCCTGGAGATTTGGGGATGGAGCCCGGGGGGGATGGGGTTGGGGGAAGGGAAGGACCTCAGTGGGGTATAACATTGAGTCCACCCTCGTGGACACATGAAGCTGCCTTATACTGAATCAGACCAGCGGTCCATCAAGGTCAGTATTGCCTACTCAGACTGGAAGTGGTTCTCTGGGGTCTCAGGCTGAGGTCTTTCACATCACTTGCTGCTTGGTCCTTTCAACTGGAGATGCTGGGGATTGAACCTGGGACTTTCTGCATGCCAGCTGAGCCACAGCCCCTCCCAAAGCAGCTGTTTCCTCCAGGGGAGCCGTTCTCTAGTCTGGAGATCAGTTGTAACTCCAGGAGATCTCCAGGTCCCATCTGGAGGCTGGCAACCTTGTTACCATTCCGCAGGGCCTGTAAAACAGAGCTGTTCCACCAGGCCTTGGGGTGAGGTGGCGGATGTCTTCATCATCTCGGTCTCCCCTGCCCATAGTAAGCCACAGATGCATACTCTCCTGCTAATGTCTAACAGGAACCATACTGGACTGCTCTCTGCTGCCATCTTGTTTTTTATTTAACTGGTTTTTAATTCTATATGTATTGTACTTTATGTTGTAAGCCACCCCGAGCCCACCATGGGATAGGTTGGGATATAAGTACAATAAATAAATAAATAAATAAATAAATAGAATAAGTCATTGTGGGTGGATCTGCCACATTGGAGTGAGGAAGCCCTTCTTCCTGTCTTGTGGCCAACAACAGGCCCTCTAGGCGTACTTTTCTCATTCTGAATGAGGAAGACCTTGGCTGTGGTCTGACCTGTACGCATTCAGCAACCATAGCCCATTGAAGAACATAGCTGTAAGCATAGCTTTATGATGAAGTGAATCAACAGTATATTTTCAATATGTCACCAAGAGAAATGAATTGTTGAAGGACAGTTTATGTACACCTCCTTGTTCAGAAGAAGATCATTGTCGAAACGGCACATCATTCCGGAGACCACCGTCTACTACATTCACTATTTATGGCCCCTGCCACACGGCAGGGAAAAGACGGGGCGAAGCGCAGCTTTTAAAAGCCGCGCCAAAAAAGAAACGCCCCGGCGGGATCCCACGGATCCCGGTTGCCGCGCTCCGTTGCTCCCCGGCACGATCAGATGCCGGGGAGGAAGATACCAGTCGGAGGGGGAGGCTGCCGTACTGCGCATGCTCGAGCATGCGCAGTACGGCAGGTAGGTGGTTCATCTTTGCCGCGCTTCATCGGGGGAAGGGCCAGATTGGAGGCGGGAGCGCGACGCCAGCCAGATGTTGGCGTGGGATCGCACCCGTTTGCTGTGCTTCCAATCTGGCCCGCTCCCGGCCCAAACTGCCTCGTATGAACGGGGCCAATATTACTCAATTTCTGTTATTGTATATTATGATTTATGAATATATTACTAAGCGCTAAATTGTCACAGTTCTTTTCCTTTTTTCACTGACCTGTACGCATGCCAGAGAGCCGTGGCTCATTCCTGTGCCTTTCCCTTCCAAATAACATAGTGGGTTGTTTTCGTTTGAAGCTGTGAAGTTGTAGAAAAAAATCGTCTTGGCTGTGTGTTGGGCCACCAGACCCATGAGCGGAGATGCTCTTGTCCAGTGCTCCCTCTAAGCTGAGTTAGTGTGAGCTAGCTCACAGTTTTTTAGCCTCCGGCTCACACATTTTGGTCTTCGCTCAGGAAGGTTGGCTCCCAAGCAAACTAATTGATGCAGCAGTCAAATCGCTCGCTCACAACTTTAATGCCCCAGTGGCTCACAAAGTAGAATTCTTGCTCACAAGACTCCACAGCTTAGAGGGAGCGTTGCTCTGGTCACGCCCCTGAGGCCTGCTTTGCTCTTTAACTTCATTGCAGTTTCCTGGCTCTCCTGAAGTGCTCTGAGCCCTAATGAGGAGTTTGGGGTTTCCGTGTTTGTGTTGTTGTGGGCAACTTCGGAATGATCCCAACCCACAGCCTGTTTACTTCTCGCAGCCAAGAACTGGCAGGGTGAAGAGATTCTGTCCAATCTTAAACCCATTATAGCAAATGCCAGCTTAGTTCTCTGCTTCTCAGAAGGATTCTCTTTTTCCCAGAATCTCACCCTAAGCTGGGTTGCAAAGGACCAGGTGTAAACGTGTCCCTGGCTGAGGAAAGGGAACTCACCCTTGGGATTTTGCAAGCAAAGCTGCTTTGCCCAGTTAATGGGCCAGTTTAAACGAGATGTCATGCAACTGCAGTACCCCAAATGGTTTTTTGTTTGTTTGTTTGTATTTTTGGCCTTGTTATGCCAGCATTGCACTTTCAAGCAAGCCTCCCAAGGACAGCAGGGTTAGCAAGGGAGGTTTTATTTTTCATCTTGCGGCTCAAAAGAAATAATAAACTGGAGCAGTTTTCTTCCCCTCCAAGTGTCTGCACAGGGGTGGAGAAAACTGCCCATACTGGTGATCAATGCTCCCTCTAAGCTGAGTTAGTGTGAGCTAGCTCACAGTTTTTTAGCCTCCGGCTCACGCATTTTTGTCTTAGCTCAGGAAGGATGGCTCCAGAGCAAACTCATTTATGCAGTAGCTAAACTGCTTGCTCACAACTTTCAATGCCAGTAGAGCACAAAATAGAATTTTTGCTCACAAGACTCCACAGCTTAGAGGGAAACTTGCTGGTGATCTGCTCGTGTGAACCGTGTAACGAAAGGGTGATGAATTGATTGAAGACAGTCCAGGATTGCATATGCAGTTTTATCAGAGGTCATTTCGGGGGGATCGCGGGGGATCGCAGTTCCCCCGGGTGAGGTACGGGGGCGGGGCACATGACGAAGCCCCGCCCCCTGCTTCCGGCCACCCCGCTTCCGGCCCTCATTCAGCCAGGCGGAGGCAGGAGAAGAGGGAGGGTAAGTTGCTTCCTCCCTGCCTCTCCCCACCCCTGCCTGCCTGGGGCCAGGGAGGGCCTTCGCGGGGCTTCCTTGCACTCCCGCCGCCCTTGCAGGTCCACCGCCGGGCCCCTCATGGGGCTCGGCAGTGGAGCTGCAAGGCCGGCGGTGGCGTCCGGGACCGTTGGGGGCGGGGTGTGTGGCCTTATGACACACTTCCGGTGATGTCAGGGTGTGTGGCATATGCTAATGAGTTCCCCTAGCTCTTTTTCTACGAAACGACCCCTGAGTTTTATTATTAAAATGCCCCTGTGAGCTGTATTAGGCTGAGAGAGTAATTGGCCTAAGGTGACCCGCTGAGGTACATGGCAGAGTAGCGGTCTGAATCCAGATTTTCCCAGTTGACACTCTGACCCAGGGGCCCCCAACATGGTGCCCATAGACACCTTTTAATGCCCACCAAGTGATTTTAGGAAGTGGGAGGGCCTGGGTAGGGCTTTTGCCCAGCAGGGTTTCTGATTGGCTATTGGAGATTTGATAAGGCTGTGCAGATTTTTTTAAAACGTTGCTTTGGCGGCAGCTGCCACCACAGCACAAGGATCTGCATTGTGTGACTGAAGTTAAGCTGTGGCCGGCTTTGCCTCCCACGGCAGCCATTTTGTTTCTGTGCCCACCACGCCATGTCGGAATTCCAAACGTGCCTGCAGGCTCAAAAAGATTGGGGACCCTGGCTTTAACCATTACACAATGCTGGATGTGAAGTCAGACCATTGCTCCGTTTGTGAGTATTGTCTGCTCTGACTGGTGGTGGCTGTCGAAGGTCTCGCTTAGAGAAGGGCCTTTCCCGAGACCCGACTCCTTTTTCACGGGAGATAACCAGGGCTGAACCAGGAACCTTTTGTATAGCCTGGATAGCCCAGGCTAGCCCAATCCTTTCAGGTCTCAGAAACTAAGCAGGGTCTCCCCTGGCTAGTATTTGGAAGGGAAACTTCCAAGGAATACTGGGGCATGATGTTCCCTCTAAGCTGTGGAGTCTTCTGAGCAAAAATTCTACTTTCTGAGCTAATGGCATTAAAGTTGTGAGGAGATGATTTGGCTACTGCATAAATTAGTTTGCTCTGGAGCCATCCCTTCCTGAGCCACGACAACAATGTGTGAGCTGGAGGCTAAAAGACTGTGAGCTAGCTCACACTAACTCAGCTTAGAGGGAACACTGGGCATGACGCAGGGGCAGGCAGTGGCAAGCCACCTCCGATATGTCTCTTGCCTTAAAAACAAGTCTAACTCGCCACCTAGTGGTACACAACGCTAAAAGAGCTAGAACTTTTGGCTGCCAGACAATCTTAGGATATCCTGGCTGTTCTACACACAATGCCATATGAGACTTCATTTCTGCACATGATTGTTAAAGAGGGCTGATGAAGTGGGATAACTTTGTATGTGTCCTTATGAGGTCCTTGAAGGCCAGACAAGGCTTTGAGAGCCAGTATGATGGTTAGAGTGTTGGACTAGGCTCTGGGTGACCCAGGTCTGAATCCGCACTCTGCCATGGAAGCTGGCTGGGTGACCCGGCGCCAGATGCTTTCTCTCAGCCTAACCCTACCTCGCAGGACAGCTGTGAGGGTAAAATAGAGGAGGGGAGGCCAACGTAAATTGCTTTCGGCCCTTGTTGGGGAGACATGTAGGGTATAGATATCTAGATGAGTACACTTTTAAATGCAAAAAAGCAATATTTTTAAAAGCCTTCTCTCTCTCCCGGCTTCATTTACTTTTTCAAGGTGTTTTAAAATTTATTAGCATAGAATTGTCCACAGTAAAGTGAAGCTTATGGAAATACTGCCACCGAGACCTTTCTGCCTGAGATGGGGTAGTTCGGTCGATGGGGATAAATGGGTAACCAGATGGGCTTCAATGTGATCGCCTCTCACCTTCTTGATCTCTTGCCTTTTTGACAGTTTGCTGGCAGGTGGAATGGAGCAGCCATGAATGGTGATACCCTTTGCCAAGAACCTCCCTCCCAGCTTCCAGACTGGAGGGAATTCTGTGAGCTTCATGCCCAGGCCGCTGCTGTGGACTTTGCCCAGAAGTTCTGCCAGTTCCTGAAGGAGAACCCTCACTACGACACCCCCGGGGCAGAGACCTCTTTCTCCCACCATTTTGCTGCTAACTTCTTGGACATCTTCAGCCTGGAGGTCAACAGGGTCTTTGTTTCGGATTCTCCCACCAAATACAACATTGTACCATTTGTGGGGCTTCAGAACTGCCACATGCCCTACGGCCGGGATATCTTGCCAAGGAAAGATCAGACCTCTACAGAATCTCTGGACAGCATGGACAACCCGGTGTCCTCCAGCAGGTATCTAAGCCAATCCCAGCAAGTTCAGATACGAAAGGTCTCCTCCTATGGTCAGTCCCGGAGCTCGGAGGACGTCTCCGTTCATACTACCTCTAAGCCGAAATTCAAGAAAGGTTTCTCCTTGAGGAACATGAGTTTGTGCGTGGTGGATGGAATGAAGGAGATGTGGCACAGAAGGTCTTCTCCGGAGCCTGGCACAGAAGCTACCCAGGGCAGGCGGTCCGACAGGGAACACTGTCCCTCTGGGAACAAGGAACACAGTGATTCCAGGGAAAAATGGACTCACAAGCTGCGGCTTACTAAAGGTCAGTCTTCCAAGGTGGACTTGGTGGACATTCAAAGAGAGGGAACCCTCCGCTACATGGTAGCTGACGATACGAACTGCGTGGGCAGCTCTCAGTGGCAGAAGTGTCGCCTGTTGCTGAGGAAAGCTGTGAAGATGGAGGGGGAAAGGTTCCTGCTGGAGTTTTTTGTTCCTCCTAAGGTAAGGATCTTCACAGCTAAAACTTTCTTGTGGTGCGGGTTCCCTGATATTTCTTTCCGCAGTGGTGGACATGCTTTAATTTGCAGCTGTCAACCAACCAGCATCCTATAGGGAACCCAAATGCTCTTCAGCCCTTTCCACCAGAAGACAATTTCAGAAATTGCTTTGCCTCTATGGGCGTTGTTCATTAAGCCTGTGGACTATACATGAGTGTGGATTGATAGATTGTGCTTTCTGCTAAGTTAATTGCTTGGTCCTCCTTGTAGGTACAGAGATGGCCAGTGTTTTGTATTCTGGGGGAGCCAGTGGAGTCTCCAGAAAGCCATGTAAGCCATCCTTTTCAGAGATGATCAGGTGTCTTGTAGCACTGAAGGCTTTAGCGGTACAGCATTCATGCATTGAGGCAAAGTTCAAGTGTGGACTGTCTTCCTCTTGTCTCTTGGGAGACTTTTGAAAAAGAGGCCTGTTGGATCAGACCACTGGTCTGTCTCGTCCAGCATCCTGTTACCAACTGTCACTAGCTAGAAGCTTCCTTCTCACAAGACACTCCCAAGCAGTGCATGAAGGGCCAAAGCCTCCTTTATTATTTTCTACAGCAGCTGGTCACTGCTTCTGAAACAGGGAGGCTCCATGTAGCCGTTCTGTTTAAGAAGAAGAAGAAGAAGAGATTGGATTTATACCCCGCCCTTCACTTGGAGTCTCAGAGCGGCTTACAAACTCCTCTCCCTTCCCCTCCCCACAACAGACACCCTGTGAGGTGGGCGGGGCTGAGAGAACTCTGACACAAACTGCTCTTTTTCAAGGACAGCTGTGCCAGAGCTTGTGAGTGACCCAAGGTCACATCAGCAGGTGCAAGTGGAGGAGTGGGGAATCAAACCCGGTTCTCCCAGATTAGAGTCCGCGCACTTAACCACTACACCAAACTGGCTACACCAAACCACTACACCAAACTGGCTACACCAAACACCAAGCAGTTGATGAACGTATCCTCCATGTTTAATTCCTTTCATCCCTTTTGAAAGGTAGAGACTACTGTACGGAGGACTACCTCTTGTCTGCCTTGAATGTACTGTTCAGAGGTCATTTCGGG